TTTATATATATATAATATATATATATATATATATATCTTGACCTTGTAGTGTTCAGTGCGTGCAAATTATTTTTGACACATTAAAATACTCTGTAACTTCTTAAATCTGTTTATGCTTATTGAAAAATGCACGTAACAGTCGTTTACATATTTTTCTCATAGCTGATGTTTTGTATGTGATTAAATGTGTTTATAATATTTCAACTGTGTCCAATTTACTTATTACTTTCTTTCAGTAAATACAGAATTTGACAATAGCGATTAAGGTGGAGTAATACAGGCAACAAAATTGCTGCAACTTGTAACAAAATTTATGCATATGTTTTATGCATATGATTTATGCGCATGTTAATTGAAATGTTTACACATACATTACAAATCACGAGGCATATAATTTTGTTAACAAGTTGCATCAATTTTGTTCCTCGTATTACTCTAGCAGGCTACCCACATGTACGCAGCGCGTGCCTATTTTTTCTCGTTGAAAAAAGTGAATTATGCTCTTACCTGAACATTATACGATACGAAATATACTGGAATGTCAATTCTGAACAACTTCTGAGCTTTTCTGCTGCAAAAAGGACACAACTGGAGTATAGAACATCGTGTAGAACAACTTTTTGATCTCTTTTTGACTTGTCAACACAAGTTTCGAACTTCACTTTCGAGTATAATTTTCCCTTTTCGCAGCGTTCAAGTAGTGTTTGTAGCCCCATTTGTTGTTAAAAATGTCCAGTCTAACCCATTTTCTTGAAATTAAAACGAAACAGCAAATCACCTGGATAGTTTCGTTAAAATCGTTGTTTTTATGACGAAAATTCGGATTTCCCCATCCATTTCCTTATAAAAAAGTTTCACGGTACTGGCTGGGAGGTTACGCATGCGCAGTATGGCCGATCGTGCGTGTGACTTGTTTTGGCTTGAGTGAACTCTCTGAATATACTTCCTCTGTGGTAGAATGGTCAAAACGTCCGATAAGAGCCCCACATTTTGTATAAGAATATGCAGTTATGTATATACCGCGTGTATAACAGATTTATCTTTTCAGAACCTTATTCGGTGTACAGGGTATCTTTAAATGGCATGACAAGTATTGGAAATGGTACAGTAGCTCCTCTCACAGCTCGAACCAACCAATCAAGTATGTGTACTGTAGTTTTAATGTAATGTTTTCAATTCGTTAGATTCGTGTAGTCTCTAATTCCTAACTGGGTGTGTTAATACGGTATCATCAGCGACAGTGATGTCTTCACAAAATAGGTTATTAACTAGAGTATAAACTAGAGTATAGTTAAGATGTATTCATAAATTACGGGAACCACTGAGTAGACCTATTTCATAATATACACAACACCGAATATTAAAAGCATTTTTATTTTCTACGTTTCGACTACATTTCAGGCATCTTCAGGAATGGGTTAAATTAGATGTATAACAATGTCTTATACAGCGAACTATCGGTGCACTGTCGGACCGGTGTTCTATTGAGCTCACTATAACTGTATATAACATATTGTTAAAGATGTAATTTAATCCATTCCTGCATGAAGATAATTAAAATATAGTCGAAACGTAGAAAATGAAAATGCTTTCAATATTCGGAGTTACCGTTGTTGTGTATCTTATACGTATTGATAAGGTTCTTGGATATCGTTTGGATATAAGGTTTTGGGAACGGTATCAAAGAACTGAAAAGGAAAACTATAGGCAATGCACTTCAAAATTGATTGTTAATACGAAATTGACAAGTTTTCCTGTGCGAATCTGGGAATGGATTCTTAAGTTATACCACAGAAAACTTTTGTAAGTTTTGCATTGTTGTTTTTTCAGGTGAGTGCTGAGGAATTTAGGTTTTGTGTGCCTGTTGTGGCCCGCCCTAGATATTTGTATTGTTTCTTTGAATTTATTGTACAAAAGAAAAAATATATATAATCAATAACTTGTTAGGTCTTAAACTTTACGATAAGTTTAAAGGGTAATAAACATTCGCGACGTTACATTGCAACATGAAACATACTCCGAATAGTAGAAGCTTGTCATCGGAGTTTCAATGCAAGTAGACTACGTAAGTAATTGTCTTTTTGTGTTTCTCCCATAGCACCTGGTAAGCCTGGAAGCGTTCAGCTGGAACGTATTTCGTCAACAGAACTCTATCTAACCTGGACGTCACCATCTGACCCTAACGGGGTTATTATCGGATACAGGATTGTCTGGAGCATTCTGAGAGATGACAAGAATATGTCTGTTTCTAACAGTGTTTCAAAGACTGAAATCATAAATAATGGAAGTACAGCATCGTTTGGGATAGACAAATTAGGTAAGCATGGTGGTGCAGGTGACTTTGCAATACTTTTTTATATCATCTTGTAAATGCCGTTGGTACAAGCAAAATTTTTAAAGAAACCCTAAGATTGACGTTTACAGAAAACTGCTGGTATTAGAATAATTTGCCAATGATATATATGTTTTTATATATGAGATCATATTGGAAGTGCAATAAGCAATTTTTATGATAAGAAAAAAACTGGAATCCTCACTGTAAAATTCAGGATCTCCAGTAGAAAGGTCAAAACGTTTTGTATGTACTATTTAAAAAACGAGCAGGAGTGTTTTATTAGGTTTAAAGCCACGAGCGCGCAGCGCGAGTGGCTTTAGACCTAATAAAACACGACCTGCGAGTTTTTTAAATGGCTTCAAAAACGTTTGCATAATAAGTCAAATCTTTATATAAAAATTTTTATATAAAAATCTTTATATAAAAATCTTTATATAAAAATCTTTATATAGTTTGCATAACAATGGTCTTTTGTTAAAGTGTTCTTTAGCTGGTATAAAGACGTATGCACGTGACTAATTTCCTACTCAAGATTGGATAATTGCTTCATGAATTATTAATGAGTTTTTGAAGTATATATGCAGTTTTATATACCGCGTGTATAACTGATTTATCTTTTCAGAACCTTATTCGGTGTACAGGGTATCTTTAAATGGCATGACAAGTATTGGAAATGGTACAATAGTTACTCTCACAACTCGAACCAACCAATCAAGTATGTGTACTGTAGTTTTAATGTATAATGTTTTCAATTCGTTAGATTCATGCAGTCTCTAATTCCTAACTGCATGGGTGTGTTAATGCGGTATCATCAGCGACAGTGATGTCTTCACAAAATAGGTTATTAACTAGAGTATAATCTAGAGTATAGTGAAGATGTATTCATAAATTACGGGAACCACTGAATATTTTCATAATATACACAACACCGAATATTAAAAGCATTTTTATTTTCTACGTTTCGACTACATTTCAGGCATCTTCAGGAATGGGTTAAATTAGATGTATAACAATGTCTTATACAGTGGACTATTGGTGCACTATCGGTGTTCTATTGAGCTCACTATAACTGTATATAACATACTGTTAAAGATGTAATTTAATCCATTCCTGCATGAAGATAATTAAAATATAGTCGAAACGTAGAAAATGAAAATGCTTTCAATATTCGGACTTACCGTTGTTGTGTATCTTACGTATTGATAAGGTTCTTGGATATCGTTTGGATATAAGGTTTTGGGAACGGTATCAAAGAACTGAAAAGGAAAACTATAGGCAATGCACTTCAAAATTGATTGTTAATATGAAATTGACAAGTTTTCCTGGGCAAATCTGGGAATGGATTCTTAAGTTATACCACAGGAAAATTTTGTAAGTTTTGCATTGTTGTTTTTCAGGTGAATGCTGAGGAATTTAGGTTTTGTGTGCCTGTTGTGGCCCGCCCTAGATATTTGTCTTGTTTCTTTGAATTTATTGTACAAATGGAATAAAATATAATCAATAACTTGTTAGGTCTTAAACTTTACGATAAGTTTAAAGGGTGATAAACATTCGCGACGTTACATTGCAACATGAAACATACTCCGAATAGTAGAAGCTTGTCATCGGAGTTTCAATCGAAGTAATTTTTTCTTGTTATAGTTAACTAAATTTTCTATTGGAAATGTTCACACAATTCGTTCTCCAGATGATTCTGAGGGGATTGCTTCAACAACTGTATTAGGCTAGAAATACATGAATGCAGATATCCTGAGCAACTTCCCTTTTATTTGTGCAAGTAGACTAAGTAAGTAATTGGTTTTTTTGTGTTTCTCCATAGCACCTGGTAAGCCTGGAAACGTTCAGCTGGAACGTATTTCATCAACAGAACTCGATCTAACTTGGACTTCACCATCTGACCCTAACGGGGTTATTACCGGATACAGGATTGTTTGGAGCATTCTGAGAGATGACAAGAATATGTCTGTTTCTAACAGTGTTTCAAAGACTGAAATCATACATAATGCAAGTACAGTATCGTTTCGGATAGAAAAATTAGGTAAGCATGGTGGTGCAGGTGACTGTGCAATACTTTTTTATATCATCTTGTAAATGCCGTTGGTAAAAGCAAAATTATTAAAGAAACCCTAAGATTGACGTTTACAGAAAACTGCTATGTATATGAAAATAATTTTCCAGTGATACATATGTTTTTATATATGAGATCATATTGGAAGTGCAATAAGCAATTTTTATGATAAGAAAAAAACTGGAATCCTCGCTGTAAAATTCAGGATCTCATGCAGTAGAAAGGTCAGAACGTTTGATAAGAGCCTCACATTTTGTATGTAGGCCTATATATGCAGTTTTATATACCGCGTGCATGTATATAACTCATTTATCTTTTCAGGACCTTATTCGATGTACAGCGTATCTTTGAATGCCATGACAAGAATTGGAAATGGTACAGTAGTTACTCTCACAGCTCGAACCAACCAATCAAGTATGTGTACTGTAGTTTCAATGTACTGTTTTTAATTCGTTAGACTCTTGCAGTGTCTAATTCCTAACTGGGTGTGTTAATGCGGTATCATCAGCGACAATGATATCTGCGGAAAATAGTATAATATTAGTATTCTCTTTTACATACGTTTATTTCTAATACCAACTGCACGCTACAAATACTAATCAGTAATGATTTTATGTGCTCTCAGGTCACATGACTATATCTGTCACTCAAGTCTATGACATCACTACACCATTCCCTTTGTTTTAACAAAACATAAATGTTTTAACTGTTCGAATATAAATTGTGTCCATATCACAAATTAATACTAATTTATCTATAGTTATTACTTTAATAAAAGTCACGTAACAATGTTAGACGGTAATGCTTGTCCGTATCTTTCGGGTTGCTTTCTTACTCTCGTGGACCGTCGAGGGTGCACATTCATACCATTGTCACTATTGTTGTTATTACGGTCGTTCATGTTAAACTGTACTGTTTCCTCTGGAGTACGCTGATTGTTATTCTCTGTACTGAAATCGTCGGTTTCCTCTGACGTATATTCATTATCTTTGCTGGGTTTGGGTATCTTTTTAAAATGTGAAACATTTCGTTCTATTTCATGTCCGTCTTTATTTCTAGCTCTAACTACTGTTTTGTTCCGATAAACAACAACATAAGGTGTTTGATTGAAATTTGGCGTTAGTTTATTTGCCTTGGGTTGTTTCACTAACACATAGTCTCCCTCTTTGATTCCACTTTCCTTTGCATTCCTTCTTTCGTTTGCATATCTTTCGTTATACTTCTGTCGCTTGTTTTCATTTTCACGAGCTTCCTTATGTCGGTTCACAATGTTCTTCCTGTGAAGAATGGGTAACTTGCCTTGTACCGTCCGATTGAAGAGTAGTTCAGCCGGAGGAACACCGGTAGTACTTTTTGGTGTCGTCCTATACTGTAGCAAGAATCTATTGAGCTCTTGCTTCCATGGGCGACCTTCGATTTTGGCTGTTTTGAGTGCTTTTCAAGGGGTTGCATAAATCTCTCAACTTGGGCGTTGCCTTGAGGCCATAATGGAGTAGAAAACTCTGGTTTGATTCCCAGTGACTTTAAGTACTGCTTATACTCATCTCCATTAAACGGCGGGCCATTATCTGACTTTAAGACTTCTGGGATGCCATGCACAGCAAATATTTTATCAAGCTTCGATATCACTGCTGAAGCTTTTGTAGAACGGACGATTTCCACGTCTGGAAATCTTGAGTACCGGTCAATCACCACCAATAGGTATAGTCACTCGATGGCAGAGGGCCATAGAAGTCGACATGTAAAACTCTCCAGGGGTGTTTTGGCATATTTGTTGTTGCTATTGGCTCAGGTGCATTCGCTCGCCCAACTGCTTGACATGCAACACATCGTTCTATTGTGTTTT